GCGGCTGTGGCTAGCCTCGCAGTGCCGTGCTTTAACCCGCTGCGCCGCCAGGGAGGCCCTACCATCCTTACCTTTGCTGCTTCCTTCTTCCAGGCACCGGCACGCTGGTCAACGGCAACCTCCGGCTTTACAGTTCTGTGGGTGACCTAAGGCCTGGCAACTATGGCCAGGACCTACTTATCCCCCCACCTCCTCCGGGACCTGCTCCGAGGCCCCCCTCAGACATTCTACAATCCCGAGAGGAGTCTCCACCACCGCCTCCACCGTCCGCAGCTCCCCCGCCACCTCCCCTGCTACTGGAACCCCCACCACCGCCCAACATGGCCCCACCACCACCCCCAGTGTTGGGGTCTCTATCCCCCCCATCTGCCCTTCCCTCCTCCCCATCCACTCCCACCCCTCCTGATTTCATTCCCCCTGCCCCACCCTTGAGCATTCTAACCCCACCTCCACCCCCTTTACCAGCCCCAGCACCCCCAGTTCCAGTGTCTCCTCACACAATGGGTACTCACCTCTTTCCCCCTGGGGGTGTTACCAAGTGGAAATCAGAGGTAGCACTGAATGGCAGGCAGCCAGAGGATCCTAGGACCAGCCCGCCCAGGAGCCCTGCTGAGCGGAAAGGGGACCCCATGGGACCCAAGCCAGAGCCCCACCTCACCTTCCCCCGTTCCTTCAAGGTGCCTCCCCCAACCCCTGTCAGGTCTTCATCCATCCCTGTTCAGGAAACACAAGGGGTCCCTTCAGAGGAAGAAGGGACCACCAAGAAGGGCCCCAGTCGACTCCCACTGCCCCCTAGTTTCCACATTCGTCCTGCATCGCAGGTCTACCAGGACAAGGTCCCCACGTCAGACAGCCCCCAGGAGCCCAGGACTATGGCACCAGCCAGTACACAGCTGGACAAGTCCCAGCCCCAGACGAAGGAACAAGCTAACACTCCACCCCCAGCTCTTCCCCTGCCCCCTCCTGCCCCCCCACTTCCTCCCCCAGCGCCTCCCCTTCCCCCGGCTGCCCCTCCCTTGCCTTCTGCTGAGAAGGTAATCCTTCCACCTGCCGGGCTTACCAAAAAAACCAAGCCCAGCCCTCCTGCTCCCAAGCCCAAGCCCGACCCTCCCAGCCCAGAGGACACAGGCTCTTCAGCGCCTATGGACTTGTGGGACCCCAGCCAGATGGCAAAGCTGCGGAGCGAGCTGGCAGCCTACCTCTGTGGCTCCAGGAGAGAGGACCGATTCGTCAATCACCGACCAGGCCCCACGGTGGCCTCTCAGGGAAAAGAGGGCAAGAAGGACCCCGGTCCACCAGAAAAGGAGGTACCGCCAAGCCTGCCAGAGGAAGAGACTCCCCAAAGTGTTCCTGAGAAGAGCCCCTGCAACCTGCCAGCGAGGGAGGCCACCACCAGCTTGACCCTGCCCCCTGTGGACTATATCCCTCAAGACTCCCCTACCCGCAGTGTCCGGCAGATCCGGAACAAGCTTGAGGCCCAGTTCTCATCGGCAGAGAAGGAAACCAGGCCCGGCACAGGGACTCTGCCTCCCAAACCTCGGCCTGAGAGGGACAGAGCCTTTGCAAGCAAAGCTGACAGTGGCAAACTCTCCAACTCTGTGATCAAGGCCCACAATGGCGAAACCTCCGAGCCTGTGGCCAAGCATCCTCCACCTCTGTCCACTTTAACACTTCCAAATACACCACGCCAGTCCAAGGCCACCCCGGGGCCAGTCACACCCCCCAAGTCCATAACCGGACCAGCTACGCCTCCCAAGGTGACACCTGGACCGTCCGTACCCACCAAGGCCGTGACCGAATCAGGCCCAACAGCGAAGGTCACCCCTGGGCCAGTCACACCACCTAAGGCCACGCCCGGGCCTGCCTTATCGCCGGCAGCCATAGCGCTGCCCACCACACCGCCCCAGCCCCCAGCAGGGAACAGCGCAGCTGCAACTGGGCAGTGGGAGAATCCTGAACCTCAAGCAGCGGCAGGGCCCGCCCAGCCAGAGGCAGAAGGGAGCCCCCCAGAGGACAGTAAGTCCTCTGCCCTCTCATCTCCAGCCCTCCCGCCCAAGGCATCCCCTGGGCGAGAGGAGGGGGCATTTCTCTACAAGCCCCATCGCAGCCAGAACAGCCCCGGCCGCGAAGTTGCGGTGGTTATGCCCACTGTGGCCAGAGGAGAGGCAGCTTTGGGGCAGGAGCAGCCCGAGGAGGTGAAGGAGCCCCAGGGGGCACCTGCAAAACCCTCAGCCTCAGCCCAGCCCACTGAGGAACTCCTCAGGCACCCGGTGACAGGGGAGGTGGTAGAGCGGGGCTCCCCCATGGCCCTGCTCCTCGCAGCCAGACAGAGGGCACAGAAAGGGAGGTCTGGGGGGGCTGCCCTGGGCCCGGCCTCCCTGCCAGGGAGTCTCCGTGGCCACAGCCGCCAGCCAGAGGCAGCTTCTGACCGCATCTTCTACAAGGAAGGCCGGCCCAATTCCTTCACGGTGGTCCCCAAGGTGCCCAAGGAGGCTGAGAAGGACCCCCAGCTGGCCTTGTCAGCCCAGCGCCCGGGAGCCAGTCCATGGAAACCTCAGCCTCGCAGGGACCCCGAGGGCACGGAGCCGAGACACCCGCACAACTGGCCCCCGGCCGCGGCCCAGGCCTCCGCGGCCTGGGAAAGACCAGCGCCCGCCAGTCTCTCCCAGGGCCGCCCGCTGCCCACGTCCTTCTCATCCCCTCCTTCTCCTTCCTACAAGCCCGAGGAGGACAACGGGGAGGAACAGGAGTTCAGCTTTGAAATCATCCCACCGCCCCCAGAGTTCAGCGGTGACCCCGAACCCCCAGCCCCCGCCCTCCAGTATCTGAACCGCAGGAGCTCCCCTCCCCGGAACAACTTCTCCAGCTTGCGGCAGCCCCTGGACGCGAGCCCCGCCGCCTCGGCGCCCCGTGGCTACTCCCGCTTTCCCGGGGGTGCGTTCTATGGCAGAGCCGGAGGCCTGGATCGCTTCTCGGGGGGTCGCTCGCTCATCAAGAAGCGCCTGTACGTCGGGGAGCCACACCGCGGCCCCGGGTTGCCCCACGGCGGCACCGGCCGCAGCCTGAGCACCCCCAACTGCTTCGGGCCCCAGCCCGGAGCGCCCTTCGGAGGACCGGGGGCTCCGGAGATGCGGCGCGTCAACTCGGCCGGCCGAGCGGCCCCGGGCGGCCTGCACGCGCGCAGGCTCTCGCTGGAGGGCGGCGCCCGAGGAGAGGCCAAGTACAAAGCATCCGGCGGCAGCGACTACGCTTTCGGCCCCTCCAACGGCAGGTGAGCCGCGCAGCCAGGTGAGGGGTAGCCCCTGCCCTGGGACCACAGAGGAGCTGACCAGGCCGTGGTCAGCAGGCGGACGATGCCCCCCGCCTTGTAGTGGTCAGGCGGACGGAGGAAAAGCTGGCCATGAGTCTCCGCGTTCTTTTTCCCACACTTGCCTTTCCCACCAGCAACCCCTTGTGTCTCCGCCCGGGGCTCAGGGTGAGACCGGGCAGGTGAGACGGTAAATGTGAGGGGGCGGAGAGCTGGTGATTCTGGGGTGCTGGAATTTCCCTACCACCGAGATAAGTAGACCCTGAGTAGAAGGGTGTGGGGTCTGGGTATTGGCCAGCAGGGCCCAGGGGGGCTGAGGTGGAGTGGGGGGGCGAGGCGCACGCAGAGAGAAGCCCAGTGACTGAGTGACTGAGGAGTGGATGCACCAGGTTTGTGGGGGCAGATCCCACCGAGCTGAGCCCCCTTTTTGTTCACTGTGCCCTGGGGGAGCTGCGAGGGCGTTCTGTTAGCCAGATGCAGGTATTAACCTCACCTCTGTCCTGCTGCCCTAGGTCTCCCCACAGCACCCCACACTATGGAGGCGCCATCAACACCTTCACCGTCAGGCCTGGGACCCGTCATCCCATCTCCTATGCCTACCCTGGAACCCACCGGAAAGCCACGTCCTGAGCCCAGAGTCCTCTCAGCTCTACTCCAAGGGGTCGAATCTTGGCACTTGTTTTTGTGGGGGTGGGAGGGGTGCGGCAGGTGTTGAGCAGCCTGATCTGACGTGCAGGAATTTTTGTTCCTCGGACACAGACAGAGGATAGCAAGTGAGAGGCAGTGGCCCCAGAAGATCAAGGGTGGGTGGGCTTCTGCGTCCCAAAGCACAGCTGTGGCTGAGAACACTCTGCCTGTGGGAGTGGGCGGGGGAAGGAGGGAGGAGAGGACCTGTAGCCCGAATTTCCGCTATCTGATACTATTTGCTTTAGCGAGACTTATTTAAAGCAGTTGTACACGCATGACCTACTGAGCAGGTTCTAAAAGCCGGGGGCGGGGCAGTAACCGAATGGGAGCCCCCGGGTATAGCCATGTTGCTGTCGGGCCCTCACAAAGGGTTAAGCCCAGCCCTGTCCATGTGGGGGTAGAGGGTGCTATAGGTTGATCTCTGTAGTCTCCACCTGGCCACTGTTTGCCACCTCGAGAACTGATGCCTGGGGTTCCTAGCACAGAAACCACATGGGGGTCCAGAGAGATGTATGAAGCACATGTGGAGAAGATACTGGATCTGAGCACATTGTGTTGGCCAAAGGCAGGGCTGGGTTCCGATGGTTCACTCATCCCTGGCCCTGGCCCTTGGCACAGGGAGGCTTAGTGAGAGACAAGGCAAGTTTGGAATGGGAGACATTCCCAGGCAGCTGTGATTTTGGGGATAGGACCAGAGGAGCCAGAAGGCCTGAGGGCGTGACACTAAAGGCTTTACGTGGTCAGGTTCCATCTAGGATTTGGAGGGGACATTATTCCCAACAGCCCTCCCAACCTTGAGACTATCGGTCCCTAATACCGTTGAATCTTAAAATGTGTAACCAAGATACAGAAAGCCCTGGAGAGCAGAAGGCAACATAGAGGGGAACAGAGGTCTGAGAAGAGTGTGCCGCCACTGGGGGGCGTGTTTGAGAAAGTCAGGAGTTGCAGGGCCCATCCAGAGCAAGGCCTACTCGTAGGGTGTCCGGGCCAGCGCTACCGGGGCAACCTGGATTTATGCCTGTTTGGCAGTGAACTTGACACACTTCGGCTCTGATAGATAGATGGTCACCAGTCATGGGGGGGGGGGGATAGTATTCCTCAGTCTGTGCCCTGTTTGTGCCTCAGTCTGTGTCCTGTGGGGCAATAACTGAGTTCCTGGGACCAGACCAAGCCAGGCTGCCTTGGCAGGACTCCTCAGAAGGCAACTGCCAAGGCACAGCCTTCCCTTTCAGGCAGTGTCAGGCCTCTATGAGCTGTGTGACTAGCCAGCCTACCAGAGAGCAGGGAGCCCCCTCGGGGGGGAGTGCAAGGTGCTATGTACCCCAGTGGGGCAGGATCTGGTCATTGTGTGCAAGAAGCAGACCTCACCCAGTGCCGGCACTGGCTCTGTCTGTGCGTGTATTTTCCCTGTGCATTGTTTTAAAAGAGAGTCCATTGATTTATCTGCTGCATTACGGCTGGAGCGGTGGGACATGGACTCCCAGCTGCACACAGCTCTGGGCAGGGAAGAACTGGCTCTCACTTGGCTTGGGAAATAAACAGGCCAGTTTGGTCTGGTCTCCAGCTCTGTGGCTGTGATTGATGACTCCAAGCTACGGGAATGCAGGGAGGATGGGAGTGCTCAGCTCGGGAAGTGGCCAGCTGGTGAGCCATTTTGCCAGGCCCAACTTTCTCTTCTGACCCTTAGGATTTGTTCCTTACACCCTGCAAGGATTTTAAAGCCTGTGATAACAAACGGTGTCCTTAAGCAAGTCTCTTTGATTCTCTGACCTTTGGTTTCTTCTTCTATACAAAGGATATGATATACCTCTGAGAAAACCTGTGAAGATTATGACAGGCACGCATTCATTTACCAAGTGTTTGAGGCGCTACTCAACAGCAGGCAGAGTGCTTGATCGCAGAGCGATCAACACATAGCCCTGACCCCTGCCCGTGGCAAGATTACCGTGTCATGGAGGAGAGGAAGGATGAAGCCGTTGTAAGTGGTAGGAGGAAAGGTACAGGGACTGTGAGAATAACTGGAAAGAAGGCGAGGAGGTGAGCCAAGACCTCTTGAGGTGGAGCCATGTTGCTGATTTAGGCAAAGTGTCCAGCTCAGGCTGGCACCTGGTAGCTGCTCTACAGATGGCATCTTTGGGTGGTGCCCACCCCATATTTGCTGTGGCCCTTCACAATCTCCCCAAAGCCTTGACATGGAATCTTCAGCTCTTCCAGATGCAGGCGTTGACAACCAGGGCAGTCATCTCAAGACGATGCCAGAGAGGCAGCGGCAGCTCTTCCTCTGACTGAGTCATTTGTCAGGGGTTGTGGGGGAAGGGGACCTGGGTGCCTGTCAGGACTTTGCTGTCCTTGGGCGTCACTCTCATCCCATTAGCACAGCAAGGGCGGCCCCACTCCTGTCCTCTGACTGCTGTCTCCCCTCCGCTCACCTGCATGGGCAGCACAGACTGGCTCTGCTTTTGACAAGCTCCATGACCTGGGGTCTCAGCTGAGCCATTTGAAAGCCAGTGGAAATGGACGTGGGCTGTGTGTGGCTCTTCAGCTCTGTGGGGCCCCAGACCTCTGTAAGAAGCTGCCAGGAGCTAGAGATCCTCACTCCCCTTCTCGTCAGATGCCCTTTCTTGCGTTTTCTGCACATTCTCTCAGACACCCCACAGATGTCTCCCCTCCCCACATTGGGCTACTCTCGATGTAACAGTTGTGACATGGCCACCCCCAGCGCTTACTCAACCTTGACTGTTTGGAAAGTTCATTTGTTCTCTCATTCACGCATGACGGACCTCTAAAGTGACTCGGCCCTATGATATTCCCCCTTCCATTTTGGGGATGAGCGTAAGTCCCCAAGAAGAAGAGCGAATAGCCCACAGCCTCCAAATTCTATCTGCTTGATCTATTTCTCTTCTAGCTATACCCATTCTCACCCATTCACCCCTCTCCTAAGCACGTGGCCCCCCAAACTTTGTATCTTTCTATTGAGTAGAGGTGGGGGAGAGCCAGGAGAGGGCAGGGCTACTGTCGGACCAGAAGATGTTAATGGCTGAGGGTGGCGCCTGGATCAGGTTGGCCACACCTTGGTTTCTGGAGCCCGGCTCCATGGGTGTGGTCCAAGCCCCAGAAGTCAGAACCCCACCTCTCTGGTGAGGCTGGCCCAAAGCAGTAGCTGGGGCAAGTCCCTGGGCAGACAGTGCTGGAAGCCTGGGGCCTGGACCGATCCATGCACAAAGTTCCCTGTCTTCCCAACTGGAGCAGGTTTCTCCCAGGCTGGACTTATTTAAGGACAGAGGCTCTGTGGGCAGCAGTCGTAGGGTAGAGGTGCCTTTGGACCGGGAGCAGGGAGAGAAGACGCTATCTCACTGCCAAGCTCTCAGCAGACCTGCCCCTGCCTGTTCACAGTGTCCGCCCCTACTTCCTCCCAGCAGCCTGCGCGTGCTTTCATCTCCAAGCTCAAAGGCAACGCTGGCGTCCATCATTAGTCAGCTGTCTGGGCTGGGTGGCCACTGATAGTAGGCAGAGAACCTCTACCTCCCAGGCATGGGAGCTGTGCTACAGGGCTCCCAGGCATGGTCCAGACCATCTCGGCTGTGCTGTAGGGCTCAAGGGGCAAGTGTCTGCCAAGTGTGGACCAGAGAGTGACTGGCCACTGGTGCCAGGAAGAGCCACCTGTCCCTCCCACCCAGACAGCCTGCCACCAAGAGGAAAGTCTCACAGTTCCAGCCTGGTTCTGTTAAAACAGCTAGTCCTTGCCCTCAGGGCCTAGCAGGTGTCTAAGCACAGAGTGGGGACCGATTAGACTTGCTGTTTCTATCTCCCACCTCCCCACAGGACCTGTGGGCATGCCCTTCTCATTCTGGAAAACAGAACTTCTCCTGTCTGTCTTCCTCAGAACTTCAGCTCCTTTCCCCTTTATTCACTACAGAGGAATATCTCCTGTCCCTTATTTCCACTGTTATCTAGTTCATTTTGAGAGGCCCCCGCTTATCTGCTTATGCCCCCACCATATCCTCACCCCTCTCACCTACCCTATCTGTGATCTTCCTGTCTTTTGGCAAAAAAACTTTCCAACATTGGTTCCAGATTCCTAAGGATAGCACAAAACTCCATCAGTTCGATGTCAAGCCACTGGGAGTGGGGAAGCAATACAATAAAAGCCAAGGATCCAGGATCCAGGCAAGAGGCTCACCATCAAATGCAGGACACACACACACACACACACACACCTAAAATATAAAGCAGGAGCTACAGAGTTCTCCCAGCCAGGAGAGCTGGGTGACCAAACAGACCAGTTGACCAAGTAGGGTATGCCTGGGCTAGCATTGTGGGGTCCCCTTCTTGCTAGCTTGTGACCACACCATTAAAGCTGCCCTCAGCCCTGTGACCTTGTAGAAGCTCGCGCATGGGCAGAGCAGAGGGCTGCTGCTTGCTTATTCTCCCTACAGGGATTATCTAATACTCAAGCCCTTGGTAAAGGATTCTTGCTTCTATCACTGACGTTACATATACACTGTTGTCGCTCGGTGAACTCTCATGGCCATTTAAAGCTGACCTTGGCATTCAATTTAACCTAATTTTCCCCGGAAGAGCAGAGGGTAGTGAGCCCAGGACTGCTGTGTGACTTGCCCTGGTATCCTGCCCAGCACCACTGTGCGCGATTTGTGTGTGCCTGCAAAGCTGGCTATGACCAGAAGGTGGCGCTCTGCTCACAGGTTCCTGAATTCAAGCTCCGTTCAGGTTCAGATTTAGATCCCTCTGCCACTGAAGTTGCACTTGCACCTTCTTGGATTCAGAGAGCTAAGTGGTGTCCAGTCCACAGTTCAGTAATTCTGAAACTCGAGTGTACATCAGAAACAACGAACACTTGTCAAAACACAAGTTCCCAGGACTTATTCCCAGAGCTCCTGACAAACTTTGGGGTGTCTATGAGCCTAAGAACTCCTATTTCTAGGTTTCCAATAGGGATCCAGCCCCGAATTCCCAGAGAGCGCTCTTGGAGAACTGCCACTCTGCAGTATCCACTTAATGCGCCCTCCACCTCTCCCCAACCCAGCCCCCACACGCCTGTCTTTAGGTAGACAGCCCACTCCCAGCTTACCTATAAAGAAAATAAAGTCCCAGCAGGCCAAGTGACCATGTGGGAGGGAAAAGGTAAGGAACAGAACGGCATGGACCTGTTCTCCCTGCCATGAGGGTGGTGCGCGTTGGGGCAGGTGTAACAGCAGCGCTCTAAAGTCTACCTAACTGCCCTTTGCAGTGAGAAAATATCTTAGACCAAACAGGGTGCTGGGAGACAGTCACGTGGCACATCAACCGCACGGTTTTGCAAGCACTTTCACTTCTAAACAGAGTGAACTGGAGCCTCAGAATACTGGCCAGTAATTTCAGGACTGGAAGGACTGGCGCACTTGCACCCCTACAGCTGGGAGAGTGCTGTCCAGTAACTGTCCTCAGCTGAGTCCCTCCCCGGAACAGTCTCATCCACTATCAAGCTGCCCCTGCGGCCAGTCCTTGTCTTCAGTTCAGCCTAACGCTCAAGCGTTACCATAACCCCGGGCTCCCCTGGCCTGGGTTGCAAGTACAGGCAGCCCAACTTCTCACTGGACACCCCCTGCTCCTTCCCGTGTGTGCCAGCACTCCCCACTGGACCTCCTGTGCGCAAAGCCCAGTCTCCCAGGACTCTGACCTGTGACAACGCTGGCGTACCAGCTCTGTTCTAGGCACTCACATGCCTCGCTTCAGACACCCAGGATGGAGGCTTTTTTGTTTATGGATGAGAAAATGGAGGAACAGAAAGGCTCATGAACTGGTCCAAGGTCATGAAGCTAGCAAGCGGCAGAGCCAGGATTCCCTGCAAGTCATGACTGCAGGACTCTGAAGTATTACAACATCAACTCCCAGAGCATTCCTGTGGTCTAGCCTCAGGGGGATTAAACAGGAGAAGGCGATAGATCCTGAAGATATGTTTGGTCTGCAGGGGACTGCGTCTCTGCTGCTCTTGATTCTTTCCCAGTAGCCTCTCTCTAATGGCTGAATCTGTAGCCCTGAGGCTTCTCACTAGGGGACAGTTTTGTTCCCCAGAGGACATTTGGCAACCTCTGGGAACACTTTTGGCTGTCAGGTAAAATTATGTGATATAAAATCAGTGTGAGGGAGACAGGCTCTAGGCAGGGAGCAGCACTGGGGTTAGGGGGCAGGAGGTGGCTGGCTGGCTGGACATAGCTGAGCGCTCATCCCTCTGTGGAGAGACGGCTGGGCACAGGCTTCCTGGCGCTTCCCAGAGCTCTGGAAGGATGTAGGCCTCAGACATGCCGGGGACACACTTCCTGACAAGACTCCTGAGTTTCCAGAGCATTCCATGAAACCAGAGGAAGGTTTCGGGTGAAGTCAGGAGACAGTGCTCTGCAATGAGGGCCTCTGAGAGGAGGGACGTAGCCCCGGGAGCCTCAGCGACAGGCTGGGCTGAACCGCCTTTCAGTCAGCTGTACCTGTGTACAGCTTTACCTAGGAAAAGGGGAAGTTCCAGGTTCCCTGCCCCACCCAGAAGGAGGTAGAGCTGAGCAGAGAAGAAAAGGAATCTGAGGGGAAGAAGGAAGCAGGATGGAGAGCCAGAAGGAGACCTAGGGAAGCCACATGGAGCAGGGAGCCTGTGA